AAAAAAAAAAAAAAAAAGAGAAGAAAGAAAGAAAGCGGGGAAATGTTGAGATGCTGATGAAAGTTTCATCTCTCTTTGGTCTCCATGTTTTAAGACAGAAAAAAGTGAACATGTGGTCTCTTAGCTCATGTCTGATCAATGATGTAAGTAAACAAAGCAGAATTTAAATTCTGGTGAGATCTTACTACTTTTTTGTGCCTTTCCTCAAATTGAGTAATAATGATGTCAAGGTTTATCTTTAAAAAAATTTTTTTTTTTTTTTAAGATGGGATTTTACCATGATGGCCAGCCTGGTCTTGAACTCCTGACCTCAGGTGATCCACCCACCTCGGCCTCCCAAAGTGTTAGGATTACAGGCGTGAGCCACCGTGCCCGGCAGAAGTTGTGTGATTCTAAGACCAAGGAGTTTGAAATCAGTCTGGCCAACATGGTGAAACCCTGTCTCTACTAAAGATACAAAGATTAGGTGGGTGTGGTGGCGCATGCCTGTAGTCCCAGCTACTCAGGAGGCTGAAGCAGTAGAACCACTTGAACCCAGGAGGTGGAGGTTACACAAGCCAAGATGGTGACAGAGTGAGATTCCGTCTCAAAAAAAAAAAGAGAATGACAACTAAAGCTCGATGACAGTACACTGGGGTGGTGGCGAGGATGGGGGGAGTTCGGGCTTGGGTTTAATAATTAGGAAGTCCCTTACAGCGTTGTCAAAGCAGTGATGATATATTAGGCACAGAGAGTATGTTAGGTGTATATAAGCCTCCTCGAAGACTAACTGGTAATTGAGATATGAGAATAGATTGTCATCTCTGATATTTGGAAAGGAGAATAACAGAGGAGGCAACAATCTGAAGGGGGGGTGTAATGGACAGGTGTTTTGCTTAGTTTTAGAATTGCAGATAATTGAGCATGTTTATAGGCTAAGGAGCAGAAACCACTGGAGAAGGGCAGATTTAAGGTATAAAAGGTATGAAATAAAAGTCAACTGTTGGGAAAAAGCCCCAAAAAGGTACGTGGAAGGGGCTTAAATGCAGCAACATCTCTTCCTCCAAAACAGGAAAGGAAATAAGGATGAATACCAATATCAGAATTTGGGATGTGCACAAAAAAAAAAAAAAAAAACGGAATTGTTGAAAATTTTGCAGGGCGCGGTGGCTCACGCCTTTAATCCTAGCACTTTGGGAGGCCGAGGTGGGTGGATCACCTGAGGTCAGGAGTTCAAGACCAGCCTGGCCATCATGGTAAAACCCCATCTTAAAAAAAAAAAAGAAAAAAATTTTATTTTGGTAAACACACACTCTTTTTTTTTTTTTTGAGACAAAGTTTTGCCTTTGTTGCCCAGGCTGGAGTGCAAAGGAGCAATCTCTGCTCACTGCAGCCTCTGCTTCCTGGGTTGAAGCGATTCTCCTGCCTCAGCCTCCCAAGTACCTGAGGTTACAGGAATGCACCACCATGCCTGGCTAATTTGTGTATTTTTAGTACAGACTGGGTTTTGCTGTATTGGCCAGGCTGATCTCAAGCTCCTGACCTCAGGCGATCTGCCCGCCTTGGTCTTCCAAAGTGCTGGGATTACAGGAGTGAGCCACCACGCCCGACCTAAACACACACTTTTAAA